CGGGCGGCGGGCACCGGGGCGCGGCGGGAGGCGGCTGCGCGCTGGGCCGCGCTCGGCCGGCGGAAGTGGGCGGCGGCGCGGACCTCGCGGGCGCGGAGGTTCCGGCGGCGGGAGGTGAGTCCCGGGGCGGGCGAGGGCCGTGGCCGCTGCGCTTGGCTGGCGACACGTGCGCGGGGCAGGGGCGCGGGCCGGTGGGCGAGCTCCGGCCACGCTCAACGCCGGGAAGCCCGGGGAATCCCTGGCGGCGGACGGAGCCCGGGGACCCGGGACTCGGATTGCAACCTTGTAGCTGGCTAGCTCTGGTGTAGCCTTTCCCAGTCCTGGTTTCCTCCTCTGTAAGCCAGGACGGTAACTCGCCTGGACCTTTTGGAAGGTATCCATATCAGGGTGCAACCTGGCGTGCAGAAAGCACTCTTAGGAGCTGCTGTGACTTTCTTTGGGGCTAAGTACCTTCTAGGTTCCCGGTAGGCCTAATTTTCTTGTGTTGAATGTTATGCATGCTAACTTTCTCTTTTCTGTTTATTATAAAGCCTTTCTGCCTTAAACGTTAGTGTTTATCCAGGACACCAAATGTGGGCTTGCGTGAGCGTCTTCCTTGCCATCAAAGATTGGGTTAGGATATCTCAGGAAGGCCTTGTTCCTGCCCTGTCCCTGCTTCTAACTGTGAGGTTTGGGTGTGGTCTGTCACTGTGAAGTTAGGTAGAGACTTCATCTGACTACTTGGTAGCTGATCTTATTTTTGTTTCTGTAGTCAATGTATTTCTATCTATGAAAGACATCTCAGGAAAAAGTAATTTTTTTCTTGATTGGTGTTAGCTGAGAGGGTCCTAGGAGTCCGTCAGTTGTTAAGCTAGTACTATTCAGTGCACAGTACTGGCTGTCACATTCCAGCCCCTTCCTCTAGCCATCAGCATCCCCTGTGGGATTGTGCTGCTCTCTCTCAGCAAGTGTCTGGTGTGCATTCTTCGTTCTTGCTCCCCCAGGAAGCCCATGGTCCCATGTGAGATCTGTGGAGAGCTGCAAGGTCCTGCAGAGAGCTGGGGCCCAGATCCTGCAGCCAGTTAGCCTCAGTTCCCATGTAGAAACTGTGTGACCTTTGGGCAAATTTTATGACTTGTGTGGGCCTCAGCTTCCCATCTGAAAAAGATTGCCTGCCTCGTAGACTGGTTGCAAGCTTAGAGGAGACACTGAAGCACCAGTGCTGTTGTCAGTAGGTGTGAGCTCCTAATGGTGGTGTAGGAGACACTTAGTGGCATGGTGTTCCTGGGTTCTGTGGGTAGAGAGAAGCAGTGGAAGCAGTAGAGGCTTTTAAGCCTCACATTAACCTTTCAGGAAGATGGTGCCTAGCTACTTCTTGGCCTTGGTTTGGAAGTGGGAAAGACCATGATTACTTATTCTAGTAACTTTGCATCTATCTAGAGTCTGAAAGGAAATGATGGCTTCCATAGATGGGCTTCCAAAACCATCTGGAAGTGTAGAGAGCACTGACAGAAGGCACAGAGCAGCTGCTGGGCTATCCAGGCAGCTTCCCCCTGAAGAGTGCATTCTGGCATGCCCATAGAGGATGCCACCCCAGCTTGAGGACTGTCCTACTGCACAGTCCCTAAGTCACCATCCTGAAAGGGCGCTGTATAAGAAAGATGAACTAGGTCAAATAGTTCTTCGGTCTTACCAAATCGGTTGTGTGAAGAAAAACCAGGAAGGGTTTAGCAACTATTGCTTAGTGCCTCATAGTGAAAGTGTCAGGTGCCACTGGAAACAGCTTGTGCAGGTGGGGGGCAGGGTCAGTACAGTAAGTGATTAGTGGAAAAAGTGCCATCCACCTGCATGGGTTGATGGCTTGGGATAAGATGTCCAGTAAGAGCATCATGTGGATTCAGGAAGTTTCTACAGTAAATGAGTTGGTGCTTGTGAAGGTGAGGTGCTCTGAAAAATGGAATTTGATGTTCAGAGTGGTTTAACTGGTCATGGTTACTGGTGTTTGAGATGTATGCAAGTGGATAGAGTAAAAGTTTTTCATTAATTAGTATGTTGTCGTAAGTATTTTTAAATATGTGTAAACTAATAGAGATTAAAATTAAACATTTTTCCTTCATCTACAATGCATACAGCTCTTACTATTGTTAATTTCCATATTTTAAGATGACTAAAAAGATTTCTTTCCACTTCCCATTTGTAAGAGTGAGGCAGGCTGAGCCTACCTTTGGTTGGGCATCCTTCCTTCCTTCCTTCCTGTTTAGACGGGTTGAAGTGTCTTACCCTGTGATGTGATGTTTGTCAGTGGTAAAGATAGCTCTGTCTTTACAATCAAAATGCCAGCTTAGGGACAGTTTGTGATTAGAAGTGTCATGAGCCAGCATTTTCAGCTCAGGTGCGATGCTTCTGTTTCACTGAGTGAGTGCGTCCGGAGCTCCTTGGTCTGCACGTGTGGCTGCTAGAGTTCAGACACAGCTCCTCAGGTGCAGTGGCCACACATGCTCAGAACTCGCACTGCTAGTGTCTGCCGTGACAACCTGTGTGGACCAAGGATGGACACCTGAGGACTGTCCTGTTCCAGGCTCACTCACATGGATGTCCTAATGTCATTAAGGCATCTGAAATCTCATGTGCCGCATTTAATTCAACCTTGGGAGCAGTGGTGAGCACAGGAAGCACTCACCCTATTCCCCACGCTGAGCACTATGTGTCCTACCTGCGGTGGTAACAGCATACACCAGTGTTTCATCTGTGGCAGACGTAGGCAGAGGTGTATAAATACCCTGTGTGGACATCACCGTGTGCCGTGGTAACAAGGCTGTGTACGGGTCAGCTTTTCTGTGTTATGGAATCAGTACTTAAGGAGGAATAAAATATGTGTGGCCTTTTCATTTTATAGAAATCACAAAAGACCACAAGCTAAAGGGAACCATCAGGAATTTCCGGCAAAAGCTGGACAGTGCTCCATTAATTCTTCTCCAAAGGTGAGAAGAACTTTCCCCAGGGTGCTACACCTGCTTGGGGAGAGGGAGGAGCAGGGACCCCTGGGGTGGGATGAAGATGGAGCTGTTGTTTATTCTGGCAGTGTCCAGGAGTGATCTGGGTGGGAGTGCCCCGCCCAGTGGAGAAGGACCTGTGCTGTGGACAGGGAGCAGGGCAGGAAGTGAGGGAGGGGGAGGGGAGCCTGAATGCCAGGCCTCTTGCTCTCCAGGAGTGCTGGTTAAGGAGGGTCTGAAGGTAAGACTCAGTCTGTGCACATGAGTCTTGCATCTGCATCGTCCACATGCAAGTGTCTTGCCAGCCTCTTGCTCAGGAGGGTGGCCTGTCTGAAGACTGAGTCTCCTGAGGGTGGTGCGATGCTGGGACAATGAATGGGGGACAGCAGAGGACCCGCTCACAGGGAGTGACCGAGGAGAGTCTGAGGGAGGAAGTGCGCCCAGCACAGTCCTGTCAGCCACGAGCCCACCAGGGACAACACAGTGCTGAGAGGCAACTTGGGTTGGCCAAGAGTTGGGTAGTCAAGGTCATAGTCAGGTGGGACCATCAAGCCAGGTGAGGAGACTGGCGACTGTTGAAAGCAGCCAGGGTGGGGTGCAGAGCATTGTGGTTGTCCCAACTACCTGCGGTTTCTGGTGGCATCTGCTGTGGTTCTCTGCCTTTGCCTGTGGACACCTTGGACAGGAGCACAGCCTATATAGTTCAGGTGTGGCTGTCAGCTGGGCAGAAGGGTCTGGGAAAGCCAGCATGGTTGTGGGATTAGCCTTGCTCAGGGAGCAGGGGCAGTTCCTTACTCTCAGCTCTAGTGGTGTTTCTCAGCCAGGTGAACACACTTGTCTAACCATGAGTGCAGCACTCTGCGTTGAGGTCCTACCTAGAATGACCTTTCGACAGACCACTTAGTGGAGAACTAGTGTTAAGCACCTCATGGGTACTTGACCTCATTCAGCCAAAGTACAAAGTGACTTCTCATCTGTTTTAAGCATAAATTTACAGTGGGAAAAATATATTTACTTGACAATAACAGAAATTACACCCACTAGCCATTGGTCAGAGACTCCTGGGAGCTGAGCCAAGGGTTTATTCTGAACCACCCTGCTCAGACTGCCGCCTTGTGAAGGATGGGCCTCCATGTGATAGCTTTGTGTGATTCATGATGCTCAGCTGGGACATGGTGGCCTGGGGGTGCTCCCAGACCCCCTCTGTCAGCCATTCACATGTGCACCAGGTGGGAGGGGTTGACATGCAGTGTGTGGCCAAGCCTGAGGCCCATCATGGGCAGGAGTCAGGGCTCCAGGATTCTGGCCCACATCTCCAAGGTGGTCGTCCAGAGCCACCCGTTGCTTCAGTTGAGGTCATCATGCTGGGGGTCTTGGGGCAACATGGAGTGTAGGTGGAGCAATAGGAGAAAAACACACTGTCT